CCAGCCATTGCCCCTGTCCTATCCCTCCGCGCCCTTGTCCAAAGCCCCTCTCCAGCTTTCCTGTAGCCCCTTCAGTGGGAGGTGCTGGAAGGTTCTCCCCGGAGCCTTCTCTTCTCCAGGCTAAACAGCCCCAACTCTCTCAGCCTGTCTCCATAGCAGAGGTGCTCCAGCCCTCGCATCATCTCCGTGGCCTCCTCTGGACCCACGCCAATAACCCCTGGGTGCTGCCAACCCTGGGTGGCCAGCGGGGATCCATCCACATCAAACCCACCCACCTCCCGGCACAGAGAACCCCAAAAGGTCCCTGCTCTCCATCAGCAGATCCAGATCCTCGCTACGTTAGTCCCGGTCGTCACCCTGCAGACCCGGGGCACGGAGCTGGGCCGCACCAGGGGGGGTTTGCAGGGACATCGGGCAAGGGATGAGCGGCTTTTATTCAGGAGAAATCACCGGAATCACTGACTGATGTCCCCCGGGAAAGGTGTGGGGTGTGTGGCCAGAGCTGGCACAGCGCCCGACAAACCCATGCCAAACCCACGCACACGCGGTGCTGGATTAAGCACCTTCCACCATCTGCCTTCCGCGCATGCCGAGCGCAGGGCGGGCGGCGTGACCGTCCTTACCCAGTCCCTTCTGCGGGGCCGGGGAGCGGAACTCCATCAGATAACTCAGGTAGGGCTTCTCCGAGCCGATCTCGTAGTACCGGATGTTGCCATCCCCCTGGAGCGAGCGCAGGGAAGAGGGACAGTTTAATGCTTTGGCAAACACGAGGTTGGATAAAGACCACGGTAACACCCCCCCCAGCACCCCGCCCTCGGGAAACGCTGGTGGGGGGATACAGGCTGGACCACCACAGCTTTGTGCACGGTCCCACCAGATGCCGCCCGCTCACGTGACAGCGGCGGGCACCTCTCCAAACCCGCCTTTGGGGGCCAAAATGCTGCCCAGCGCTGTGCTCGGGGCTTGGCACAGCCCTGCTGCCCATCCAGCTCTTCTCCCCAGTGCCCTGGGAGATGCCGCAGCCCCTGTGGCTGTGGGATGCGATGAGCAGCCTGTACCCATACCCATACCTGTACCCGTACTGTACCTGTACCCATGCCCGCACCCATACCCATACTCGTACCCATACCTTGCCAGCCAAGTAGAGCATGTGAGTGTCAGCATCGTAGAACGGGAAGAGGAGACCCGAGAGCCCATCGATCTCCTCCTCTATCAGGGGCATGGACAGGTCTTCCTGCACAACCGGGAAACGCACGTTATGAAGTGGGATGTCCCGATGCTCGTGCCAAGCTGGGGGTCCTGGTGGGGATGGAGCGGGGGGTCCCAGCACCTACCTGGTCCCAGAGGGCGATCTGCCGCGTGTTCCAGCGCGACACCCCCGTCGTCAGCAGCCGCTTCGTGCTGCCCAGGAAGACCACCCGGTTGACGCGGTGGTTCTTGCAGCTGGCCTCCTGCGAGACAGCAGCGGGGTCGCTGGCGGCTCCCCCCATCGCCCCTTCCCCCGGGGAAGCCCCTTCCATGGCGGGTACCCAACCTGCTGCCCCCCAACACCTCCCCTGCCTCGTCCTGGTGAAACACCGGCTCCATGCCAGTCGCCCCTACGGAGGCACCACAATTCATCAGAAACTAAAATGCCCACCTCCTGAGTGTCAGATATTGCCTTGACTGAGAAACCGTCTGCCTCCAAACTGTAGCTCCTTCTAGAACTTTCTGCAATAACTTCCTGCACCCCCTCCCCCAATTCCTCCTATTTTCCACAAATCCTTAATTAATAAAAGAACAAAAGTCTCCAGGTCCTGTGCTTGGGATGAGGCCGAGCCCTCCCCATCATCTCCACCTAATTACAACAACGACCAAACACCACATCATCTATGGATGGTACCTGGAAAACGTTTCGACGTGTTTCAGTAGGGATTCCTCCCCCAGAGCTTATTTCTAACCTCCCCATCCCATCCCATCCCATCCCATCCCATCCCATCCCATCCCACGCAGCACCAGCACCGTACCTGCAGGACCCTGCCGGAGCGCGGCTCCACCACCCGCAGCTTCTTGTCCTTGCAGGTGGTGGCCAGGAGGCTGCCATCGGTGTTGAAGGACATGCAGAGGATGACGTCCGTGTGACAATCGATCATCTTCACTGGCTCCCCGATGTCCAGGTTCCAGATGAGGACCTGCGGGAAGGTTGCCCTGGTGTCTCCACCCCTGGAGACCCCCACCCACCCCTCCTGCAACCTCCATGTCTGCTTCAGGCATCTTAACATCTCCTGTTTTGGCTGAAATCGTCCCCTCATCACCATCGTTTGGCTGCTGCTGGTGCCAAATTAAAATAGTCCTTACGCCCGGGTGCAAGATCCTTGCACAAGGG